GTTATAGAGATTCGTGACCTGGTACCCGAAAGTCGAAGACTGCGGAGTCCCGATCAAGAGTGAGTAAGTGATGAGACGAAATGCACCACTTCGCTCGGTCGCTGGTCCCGGCTGGTGCCAGGCCTGCGATCCCGATGCCACGTGCCTTTCCCGTATGGCTTTCCGTGTGTCTTGAGGCACTTGCTTCCACGAGCTCCAAAGCGAGTGGTGATTGTTGGAGGTGGCCCAACAGGCCTCTTCTGCGCAGACCGCTTGAGGCATCACTTCCAGGCAAGCTGCCCAGAATGACCGCATCGCGCTGCATTTTGGCACCTGTTGCGAAGGTGACGGTGGTTGACTCCAAAGAGTTTTTCGAGTTCACACCTAGTATTCTGCGTGCCCTCGCCGACCCCCCGCACCTGTCCAGGACGCGGCTTTCGTTCGGACGTCATGCCAAGCCTGCTAAGCCTGCTAAGCCGCTAAGATTTTTCCATGTGGCACCTGCCAGGATCACCTTCGACTACCGAGAGGTGCCCTCTCGTGCGGTGACCTTCCGGCTTCGGCCTACACTCTCTGTGAGGTCCTTGAGGGACAGCTCGGGGTCGAGTTCGTTTTGGGCCAGGTGTGAAGTTCCCAGCGCCTCGCTTTTTGTAGCGCCGCACCCGAAGAGGCGACGAAGATCGACGCCCCCTCGAGGTTCGCCGGCTCAGGCCGGGCCCCCGCCCTTGGAGTCGGCTTGCCGTCGAGTGCACACCGTAGTGCTCGGCTGAGTTTTTTGGGAGGGAATTTGCAATTCAAGCAGGGGACACCAGGAGACAAGACACGAACTTCCTTCAGAAATATTCGTAAACGTAGCGGCAGTAAGTAGCAGTAGCAGCAGCTGCTACCCCCACTACTCTGGCGGGGAGCACTAAGCCACACAGCCTCTGAACGACCAGGTGGTTCAGCCAGCGGCAGCGGTACCATCGCAACGAATGGCTTCCACCTGAGTTGGTGGTTCCAGCGAGGGAACCTCCAGAAATTCAGAATGCCGAATCTGGAAGGTCGTGGCAGCCTGACTGTGGCAGCGGCCTCAGCATCATGACTCGCAAATGGTTTCCGCCGTGATTTTGTGTTCACGCTGTAGTCACAAGTTTGTGCAGGAACCGACCGTGGGCAGCGTTCGAGAGGAGACAAGGTGCATCGAGATTGCTGCAGCAGTTACAGACTTAGGCATTTCATTTGCTGAAAGCCCAGATCTTTGAGAGTAGTGTACCAACCCGGACAGCACGGATGACAGGATGAGCTTCGACTATTGCGTGGTTGCTGTTGGCGTCGCCAATGGACTTTGGAAACCTCGTGCAGTGGAAGAGCTTTCTGGGGTCAGCGCCTGTGACTTCCCATCAGAGACGTGTAGTTCCGCTTGTTTGCGCTAGCTTTCCATGGTCGAGCATTCCCACGAAGTTTTGCAAAGATGCACACCGCATGTTGTGCCTGTTGCAGCCAACAGCGGTGTCCTCGTCTTCTACCGCAAGGCGAGGCGGCATAAGCACACGTCCCAATGCCTTAAAGTGCTGCGGAACGGGAGGCCGACAAGCCAAAAGCCTTCACAATCCACTGTGCCCGCTGTGCCGCCTCCTGGCGGTCCCGGTTCTGCTTTGGACGAGAGGCGCTTGGACGTCCGGGTCTTAGGCCCCGGCCGGGCAACGCGTGAGGATTCAGAGCGAATGCCTGCTGCTCTTCCAGGGCCGCCGGCGAAACCTGCAGCTCTTGCACGAAAAGCTGGCAAATGCGCCTGGCGCGGTGGTGGTCGGAGCTGGATTGGTAGGTGCGAAGGCAGTGTGCATCTCGGCTTCGGGCAGAGTCTGTGCCAAGCAAGGTGTCGAGCTCGCTGCAGAGCTAGCTCATTTTTTTCCACGACTCAAGGTGCTTGGGGGGCAGCAGACGTGTACAGCCGTACAGCTAATTCATTGGCTTTGCACCTCAATGGCGATGAATGGTCAGGTGACGTTGGTGGATGGCCCGGACACACAGCATCTGTGCAGGGCAGAACTGTTCTTTTAGGCGTTCGTCTGTCAGGTGCAGCCCACGTCTTGCCGCAGCTGGCGGATCCGGCGCGGGACTACACCATGGAGTTCTTCGCAAAGCAGGCGCGCCCGGGCTCCGAAGGCGGCCCCAAGTTTGCTTCCCCCGGTCTCTGTGCGGCAGGGCGTGAAACTCCGCCTTGGCCAGCCCTTCGTGCCCGAGTTGGTTTCGGAAGGCGCTGCGGCCGAGCCTCTCTGCTTCTTGTCGCTCTGTCTTTCCGGAACTTCCGGCGGAGGCGAGGTGGTGCTCTGGTGTGTTGGTACGAAGCCGCGAGCTTGTGAGCTCTTCGTGGACCGATCGGTTCTCTCCTTAGAGCTTCGTGAGAGAGGGACATGGGCCGGGAAGAGCCTTCAAACGGGCGAAAGTCATGTTGGCCATCCCATCCAACACCAAGATTTCGGCAAGAGAATGATTGGAGCCTGTTTTTTTTCACCTCCTCTCGTTCAAGGTGCTGCGCAGCAATGGCCAGATCCGCGTCAACAAGCGGATGCAGGCCAGACCGCCAGCGTCATGCAGAAGTGATTCTGTTTGGTGATGAGGCTGATGTCTGATCTGCCCGGCAATGCAGGTTCTCAGCAGCAGCCACATGGGTCTGACCAGCGTCGAAGAACTGACTCATGGTGGGCGTCTTGGATCTTCACTTCACGCCCTGTCGGTACGCACTCGCCATCGCTCGCCACTCTTGATGATCACGTTTCTTGAGCAGAAGTTGGGATCTGCTTCAAATCAGACACTCCTGGTGTACGCTGGTTGGGCTTGAGAGAGTCGTGTTCTGCCCGGCAGGCGTGGTTTTGCAGCCACTTGGCCAAGGACAAATCTTTGCAATCGGCGATGCAGCCTCTGTGGAGGCTATTTTTGTGAGGGCAGTTCCCCAGCCAAGTGTCCTTGCTCCACTTGCAGGGTGTGCCTCTGGCCCAGATGATTTTTCATGGAGAGGACACCTGCACATTGAACACTTTCCGAGTCATCTTCCCTGGATCCTCTTTGCAAGCTTGTTCCAGGAGATGGCGTCTATAGCCGTGGCAAACATTGAGGCGTCTGGTTCCTTGTCTCTCCCCACACCTGAATGGTTGCTTTGCCGTTTACATCTTGCCGCAAGGCTGCCGAGAATGTTGCCTCGCCGATCTCCCTTGGTTTTGCCAAGAAGGAGGCGGAGGCCAATTTGCAGGCGCCTTTTTCGGCAGAAGGAGACTCTGCTCCTTTTCGTGGAAAGGTTGGCCAGCCGCTGTTGGCGTGCACTTCTCTTGGGCCACAGGACTGCCAGTGAGCCTCTGTCGCATCTGCCCATTCCAACTGGGAGAACGTAGAGTCGTAGAGTTGCAGGACGGCATGTTTTCGACGCAGAGTGAGCTGGTGGCCTCCCCTGTTCAAGCCTGCTGGCCATGACTCCTTCCGTATCCATGGCATCCATGGGGCCTTGGAAGCGCACAGGTGGCTACAGGGGCACTGGCGGCCATCCAGAAGCAAGTGATCGAGGCTTGGTACAAGCACGGAAACCACCGGATGAATTACCGAGCACGGCAGGCGACAAAGATGGGCGCCTTGCAAGGGGATCCCTTGAGCTCTCTCTTATGGCTGCCTGTCCACTAGGCCGTCCAAGAGGGTGACGGATACACTGCGTGAGCTTGGATGCCAATGTCTGAAGCACATGTCCTCAGTGTGTCCCTATTTGCACATTTGCGGATGCCCGTGTACTTGTCCTTCAAATCAACACCTACCGACGGTCGGAGTATCCAAGGGATGGGAACGGACCGGGGAGTGCCCAGCGCATGCAAGTGAAGGAGAAGCCACAAGGCTTTTGTCTATGGTGCTCGCTGCTACAATCTCGCAGCGGAATTCCCTGCATGTCGACCGCAAAAATTCTGATCGCTAGACTTTGACCGTCAACCTTGATGAGGGCTTTTTCCGGCTGAAGAAGATTAGCAAAAGAAGAAGGATTACCAGGAGCAACCAGGAGCCTATGATGCTGGGTATATTTGTCATGGTTGGTACGCCACCGAAAACCCATCCAAAGATGCCTACAACTACCACAACCATTGCCACTGCACCGCCAGCACCAGCACCAGCACCAGCACCAGCACCAGCACCAGCACCAGCACCAGCACCAGCACCAGCACCAGCACCAGCACCAGCACCAGCACCAGCACCAGCACCAGCACCAGCACCAGCACCACCACCAGCACCAGCACCACCACCACCACCACCACCACCACCACCACCACCACCACCACCACCACCACCACCACCACCACCACCACCACCACCACCACCACCACCACCACCACCACCACCACCACCACGAGCAAGAAGGACTTCGGCTGCGCCCCAGATCGTTCGCAACAAGACCCACGTCCTATGTCAGCTTTCGTCCGAATCCCTCCCCTCCAGGCTTGTGACGACAACGTTAATGATCCGCGGCTGAACATCATCATCATCATCATCTTGGACGGTTGTGAATCGATCAGCTGTGCTTCTCACCCTTGCCTTAGCTTCACCACAGCAGTATGGTTGCCACAGCAGAGCGGGCTAAGGAAAGAACATGAGCTGATTGGACTGCATCTTCAGCATGTGCGACTGCCTCACGCAGAAATGGTCTTCCGTCTACGGTGCTGATTCAAGGAGGATGGTAGATGTACAGGAGTACACGGAAGCGTATGCAGCAGCGGATAGCAGCATTCGTCACGCGAGAAGTAAACCTGAATTAGCCGAAATACCGATATCTTGATGCCATGGCACTCGTAGAACCACCATGTGTGCGCACTCAGTGCCGGCAGTTTGCGGCTGCGGACCCAGAGCTCTGTTTTGCACGACAGGTGACCTCTTCTGATCAGGCAGCTTCTGTTGTCAATTCAAGTCTCAGGGGTGCTCGCGGTTACCCAGGCCTTGGAAGTTCAGTGCGCTTCGAGCGCTTCTCGCACTTCGCTTCCAGCGAGCCCCGAGGCCAGCTCGGCTCGCTGATGCCCGCTGCATCTTTCGGCGTGTTTTCACGTGGTCTTTGTTTCGAGGTTCTCCTGGCCCATCGCCACCTGCTCTGCCTGGCTGCCTCTCTGGGTGCTGCTGCCGGGTGCTTGGCTTCTCCGTTCAACTTATCCTACCGTTGCGGGTTCGAGCTCTTAGTGAGGCCTTTGCACGCTCCCACCTACGGAGCAGGCCAGGCCCCCTGTCTTTCCCACCTTTGCCGTCTTTGCCTTCTGTGACCGGCCTTGCCAGGCAAGCTCGAGCAGGCCGCTCGCGACGGCGGAATGTTGTCCTTCGACGGAATCAGCTCGAGGACACCGCGACACCGCGGCCGCGACGGTCTCCGTGGTTGTTCGCTTCAGACTGGCATGGAGGAATCCGGCATTGAGGAATCTGGCGATGCGCTGATACCTGCCATGCGCGGCGCCAGACCAGACTCGCATTTCATAGATCGAGGAGTGAAGTCGCGATAACGCTGCAGGCCCATCGGGCGACTGGTGAGCAAAGGCAGTACCACAGGACTCGAGTGCCGAGCCCAGTGATGTGAGCCCAGTCGGCCTTCCAATGGCTCGGTTCATGACAGTTCCGGAGCAAACGACTGCAAGGTATGATCCCTTCGATGCGCCTGAGTTCATCGAGGACGAGCATGGTGGAGGTGTCACAACGGCGCTGTGCTGGAAGTACACGTAACACCCGTGGAACGAGGCATCTTCAGCTGGATGCCCGTCACAGCAGAAGGCGGCTTAATGCCAGAAGGTGAATACGACGAGCAGTCCTTCGAGGCCAGAGGGGGGGTTCGCTGGAGTGCCGCACAAAGCTGCCAGACTCTGCAATTCTGTGAGGTTCCTGCAGATCGCCTTGACTATTTACAGGGAGGTGGATGGCTCCAGGCAGGCGAGAGCGAGGCAAGCCCATATCACTGAGTCACTCCTGGCGGGCTGAGATCTGTTCTGAGCGTAAAGTGACGCCCTTTTTTTTCGGATGTTGCCAGGACTATCGTGCCTACATCGTGGGCGAAGCCTCGTCCTGACATTGGCAAACACTAACTGTCACCGTGTCAGCGTGTCACCGTGTCACCGTTTCTTCGGGTCAGTATGGTCTGCCTCTGTGCCAAGGTGTCTGAAGTGCATGGACGTAAATGGCAGCGCGTTGTCTTGAAGGGCCGGAAGTCACTTGTCTGCAGTGTTGCTGTGATTCGAAAAACATGCATGGGCTGTTCTTGCAGCTCCCGTCTCTTGGCAGGGACTCGGTACGCGAGGGTGGCCTGCGGCTGATGGCGTCACAGCTGCAAGTGATCACGGCAGAAACAGCCTAAATTGCACAGCCTTGGAAGGGTTCTGTTCAGCTCGAACCGCGCCGCAGTGTCGACGGATGAGGGACTCTGTTTTTGCGTTTGTTTCTGCTGTGACTGTTCGCCAGGGAGCCGCGGGCGCTCAAACTTAGACGCTTAGGCTCTTAGACTTACCCAGCATTGAGCATCCATGCTTTCGAGCTGTTGTGGCCTTCTTTTTGCCCCGGCGGTAGAAGACGACCTCTGGGGAAAGGCTGGCCAAAGATCGTGGAATGGCCGTGATAGTTTTGCTGATGTCCCAGAGATCGGGCACTGGCACTAGCAGCGGCCGACAAGCACACTATGTACAACTGCACCTGAGGGTCTTGAAAGGGAGCCTATTCTCGACTGTTTGGTGCCACAGGAAGGCGTGCTGAGACAACGGCCGTGGGCCTCCTCCTCAGCTGTTTCCACGGCTGTGGTGCTGTGGTGCGCACTGTCCTGCGGCTCCGTGCGACGAGGACCAGGCTGTCGGAGAGCTTCCAAGGCCGGAGGACCTGAAGGAGACTGGAAGCCGGAAGTGCCGTGGGCCGGTGATCTTCTCGCGAAGCAAAGTTTCTAAGAAAAAGTCCCCACTTAGCGAGGTTTCTTCCGGGAAGGTTAGACCTTGACGACGACGATGTTGGCTCCGGGTTAATGTGCACAAAGTCTCGTCTTGTCTTCACCCCAAACTTCAATCGGAATCCTGGCTGATGGTAGAGGTCGCCTGCATATCGAATAGCTGATTGCGTTTGTGTCTTGGACGGTGTGTTCCTTCTTCTAGATGGCAGAAGCCTTGGAGTTATCGGCGATATCACACACACAGCACACACAGCACACGCGGTTATACGTGAGGCACGATTTTACGGCTTCCGGGCTTGTGAAAGCGCACCTTAACGAAGACCGCTCCCGTCATGGCGTCGCTGAGGGGCTTCTTTCCTCTTATTCCCCCGATGCTACATCTCCTCCCGCGAGCTGCCTAGACTAGGGAGCGAAAGACGTTCTGGTGCTGGGTCTGGTGTTGACCTTCTGTAGCCTGCGGTACTGCGGTCTCTGGACCTCCGATGTGCAATCCTTCCCCAGAATACTTGCTTCTTCCACATCTCAACGTGACGTGGAAGTCCTCAGCTACTTGCCTCAGGAGCCGGTGTTGCTTCCGAGAGCCTAGCGCCGTTCGAGCAGGAGCTGGTTGACCATTGGAGTTCATGATGTCCCTGCTTTTTGTGGAACTGGGCAGGATCTTTGGGACTGCGTCATTACCCAGCCGGCGAACTCAAAAAGCGCGGGTGTCGTCCAAATCCAGATAATTGCAATGGGATGACTGCAGCGCCGTGCCCTTGTCGCTTCGAGAGGACGCTCAGCTTTTTGGCTTAACAAGCACGCAAAGCCGAAGCGGCACCAGCAAGCAGCATGTGATGCATAACGCAAGGCAAGGTCTCGACGCAACGGTGTACAGCTGTAGTGCATTTACAGCTGGCACCAGTCAGAAGGATTGGCAGGGGAAGCATTGCAAAGTCAGTTGCGCAACTGTTGTGCATCTTCAGAGAATAGATCTGAAAAGATTGAGATCGATGCACTTTGAATCATGGTGCTGGATTGGGAGAAGGCTTGTCAGAAACGCCGTCCAGAAGAGTGCCGAGCTTGTGCTGATGTTACCAATTTGTCAGGTGTATGCATTACTTCTGCCTCAAGCGTCGCAGCTGTGGCCGGCTTCCATCTCTTGCTGCCCACGCCTGAGTGGCAGCAGTGTTCCAGCCACTGCCCTACAGCTGAAGAGCCTGCGCCAGTGCATCCCAGCGAGGATGGCTTTGACGGTGAAACTGCAAGTGAACTCGCTGAGGCGCGAGTAGAACGGCTCAAGAGCAAGTTTCGCAAATTCTCATCTTCGCAGGTCATGCTCCAAGCTGCGGCTGTCATGGAGCCAACAGGTACCAGCGACCAATGCCCGCCGTGCACCATGATGTTGACACAGACCAGCCCGAGAGGACCGTCCGAGGGCCGCCGAGCACCCAGCCCTGTCCGGGACCCCAGCAGCTGGCAGCTGGGGGTGCTCGGAGGCTCTTGTTTGAGCTTCGAGGTCGCTGGATATTCGATGCCGAGCACTGGCCTCAAGCCTCAAAAAAGGCCTTGTTAAGCTGAGCTGAAGAGCTCAAGGTGCTCCAGAGCTAGATGCTTGGCAAGCTCGGTTCTCAGACACGTCGCACTTCAGGCGAGGAAGCGCAGCTGTCTGCAGGAGTCTGCACGAAGCTCCGATGCCAAGTCACGAAGTCCATCCAGATCCTCTCGGCGAGCGGAGGAACCTCAGAGCGCAGCGAGAGGGACCGCTGGCGATCCTTGAGCGGAGGATCGTGATCGTGGTGCGCCTGAAGACCAGTCGCCAGCCAGCGAGGTTGGGTCTAAACATGCAATGAGCAAGGGCCACTGGAGTGGCTCGTAGCAGCTGCTTTCAGCCTGTTGCCCATGCTTGAGCCAGATGCCTCCAGCTCAAGCCGATGGAGGTCCAGGCTCTCGCCCAAACGCACCCTCAGGGGAACTAGGCGGTAATCTAGGCTGGATGCTTGTTTTGCTGCATTGTTCCGTATCGCAGCTTCTCGCGCGTCCGCAGACGTTTTTTATACTGCTCGGGCAGTGCGCGGGACCCAGGCGGGATAGGCCAGGCCTAGGAACTCCTTGACGTCCCTCTCCCAGTGCTGGGTCGAACGAGGCGGGTCTGAAGGAGCCCAGTGTAGCGCATTTAAGGGGCAGCCACGGTGAGGCACTCGCAGCGATGGCAGATCTCCCTCCAGGCTCGCCTTGCTGAGCTGTAGGGGTCCGTGGTCTGTGTACTGCTGTTGGGTCTTTTGTCGCGTCTTGCAGGACTTGCCTTTGATACGGCCACGAAGAAGCAGCCCGCCTCCTTGTCTGCCTTCCAAATGCTGCCTTGCACCCCAGCTTGTTCCATTCTCATCTTGACGGCTTCTGCGAATGGAGCGAGGCCGCCGACGGCAGCATTGCCGGCGCCGACGCCGGAGGAGGAGGCTGCAATGCAGGAGATGATCTTTGCCAAGCTGGAGCAGGATCTGTTCGAAGCCAGTCTCTGCAGGTGCTTGGGTAGCATAAGATTTCTTGACTGCTTGCAATCAGGACATTGCAGATGCGACGGAGGCAGTAACAGCCATGATGGCCATGACGAGTCCGGCAACTGACGTGCCCGCAAAGTCTTCTTGTGGCTGGGGTGCCTCCCTTATCTCCGCTGCACCCGAGACCATAGACATAGAAGCCGACTGTCACCCGAAGCCGAGGCAAGAACAACGATCCCTCGAGCTTGCTCACGCGGGTGAGACGAGCGACGCTCCCTTGGCGGTCATCTGCAGTAGAAAGCAACTGCTCTCGGTATCTTATTGTGACTAAAGCAGATATGCATGTTTATGCAAGGCCTGGGCGACATGTGTCACTGGAAGTGTTGCGCCAAGAGGCGTGCACCGGGTAACCTGCTTCGTCCCTTCACGAGTTTCCATGAACGACACAGGCACCTGCTGAGCTCAAGCAGTTCATGCAGGCGCGTGCCAAAAAGACTCCACAACATTGGAGCTTGACATGTTCGTTTGAGCAAAAGATGAAGAAGCAGGATGGAACCAGCTTTGCCATGTGGTTACGTCATCGTACAGGCCTGTTGAAGGCCAGGGTGCATGCTTTGTCGTGTGCGTAGCACCTTGGAACAGCAGCGGTGTTAGGTGAATGGCCTTCCAGGGGAAGAGGTTGTTGTCTTTGCTGGGAAGAGCCCTTAATTGTATTGCAGTAAGCGCTTTCTGCATCGGCCTAGGCAATTCAGCCTGCTGCAGTGGGTGCCAAGGTCTGCTAAGGAGCAGGCAGCAGAGGAAATCGGACTTGACCCTCAGGCGCTCCAACGGAAACTCGCCGTTTGCTGCATACGTCAGCGTTTGTGGGCGAGAACAGGCAGAAGAATTCAATCCGTTGTATGGGCTTGACCTTTGCGAGATGGCAGAGTTCCCTCCTAAGCTGATGGGGCTGGGTCGACGTCGCAGGGTTCTGTTCCCAAGAGGAAGCAGCATCAAGTCCAGCAAGTGGACAACCGAAATAATTCCAGGTACATGGCCTACGATGAGGCCTGCTGACCCAGTGGACTTGCGTCGTCATGAAGTCCGTGCCTCCTTTGCCTCCACTCCACCGAAAGGCTTGCAATGACATGGCAGCCTTCATGACGTATTTTGAAGAAGGCGCATCGGCAACATGACGATGTGCGGCTACCCTTAGTGTCCTAGAGTCCAGACTAGAGCTGGAACCAGTGAGAAGGCCAAAGTGGCACGGATTTCGTGCTGCCGGACGACTTCACGGAATCGACTCTGACAGGTACGATTCGTCCCTCAAGAGCCAAGAGCTCCAAAAAAGCACCGGCTCGAAGTAGCTTCATGCGTCAAGCGACAATCGTCCTTTGGGCAGGACTCGAAGGACTCGATGAGCTAAACTCGGAGGCTGACAGCTTTTAGTGCGGTGGTGGTGGTAGCGTCCTTGCGGCTGCCTGCATGGCCCAGGCGCTGTCGGAGCTCCAGGCCATCGGCCCGCCACCCGGACTGACACTCGAGCTCGAGGCTCGAGAGCGCCAGAGCGGCCGAACTCTTCCTCCTGGCGCAAATTCTGGCTGTGCTTTGCAGGTGGAAAGTCCGATCGCATACGAGGCGCTTCTTTTTCCAAAGCAGAGCTCAGTCTCAACGCCGGCTCTGGTCGCCAGGCCGAGCAAGTGGTCAAGGCCGGAGGCCTCAACCCGAAGGCGACTTGGCAAATCGCTCCTCGGCTGTCTTTCACCGCCCTAGCTCCGCTGCAGGCTGCGGAGTTCCGTCCCACGAAGACACTGGCGGATTCCGAGAAGGTGCCCGTGTTCTGATGCCTGCTCTTCTGTATGCTGCTTGGTGTGAAGACATGCTGCACTGCGCAGGTGATACGCTCGCGCCGTGGAAAGACTGGGGTGCCCGATGCAATTCCGGAGGCTACGGGGGTCAGAAGGAGGG